GTCTAAGGATAGTTTATATAGGCACGGAGAATGACTTGTCGCAATGATGAAGGGATAGGGATGGATCACGTGTTGGCTGCTTCTTACAGATTAGAAATAACAAAATGAAGACCGAGAGCCTACACGTGGAAGCTGAGCCCCACATTCTAAGTTCTAAAACCAATCACAAGGTGATAGCTAAGCAAAGCAATTAGGACATCAACAATTCAAATTTGAAGAACCAAAACAACACTCCAAATGTGCAGCATTCAATCGCATCATTTTTTTGGGGGGGGGCGGGGGATGGGGGGCAATGTTTGCACCCAAAATATTAATCTAAGAATAACAATAAAAATAGGACCAAGACCCATCACTGACAAATAAAAGTCAAAAAGTGGGGCAAAGGTGTGGAGATTGACATTATCAACATGAATGTGTGAGAGTCGTTTGCAAGCTGACAACACAAGGAGTTGCCATTAAAGAAGAAGAAAGCGTGTAAAGTCAGAGTAATGACAAAATTCGAGTCTAAGGATAGTTTATATAGGCACGGAGAATGACTTGTCGCAATGATGAAGGGATAGGGATGGATCACGTGTTGGCTGCTTCTTACAGATTAGAAATAACAAAATGAAGACCGAGAGCCTACACGTGGAAGCTGAGCCGCACATTCTAAGTTCTAAAACCAATCACAAGGTGATAGCTAAGCAAAGCAATTAGGATATCAACAATTCAAATTTGAAGAACCAAAACAACACTCCAATGTGCAGCATTCAGTCGCATCATTTTTTTGGGGGGGGGGGGGGATGAGGGGCAATGTTTGCACCAAAAATATTAATCTAAGAATAACAATAAAAATAGGACCAAGACCCATCACTGACAAATAAAAGTCAAAAAGTGGGGCAAAGGTGTGGAGATTGACATTATCAACATGAATGTGTGAGAGTCGTTTGCAAGCTGACAACACAAGGAGTTGCCATTAAAGAAGAAGAAAACGTGTAAAGTCAGAGTAATGACAAAATTCGAGTCTAAGGATAGTTTATATAGGCACGGAGAATGACTTGTCGCAATGATGAAGGGATAGGGATGGATCACGTGTTGGCTGCTTCTTACAGATTAGAAATAACAAAATGAAGACCGAGAGCCTACACGTGGAAGCTGAGCCGCACATTCTAAGTTCTAAAACCAATCACAAGGTGATAGCTAAGCAAAACAATCACTCCAAATGTGCAGCATTCAGTAGCATCATTTTTTTGGGGGGGGCGGGGGGATGGGGGGCAATGTTTGCACCCAAAATATTAATCTAAGAATAACAATAAAAATATGACCAAGACCCATCACTGACAAATAAAAGTCAAAAAGTGGGGCAAAGGTGTGGAGATTGACATTATCAACATGAATGTGTGAGAGTCGTTTGCAAGCTGACAACACAAGGAGTTGCCATTAAAGAAGAAGAAAGCGTGTAAAGTCAGAGTAATGACAAAATTCGAGTCTAAGGATAGTTTATATAGGCACGGAGAATGACTTGTCGCAATGATGAAGGGATAGGAATGGATCACGTGTTGGCTGCTTCTTACAGATTAGAAATAACAAAATGAAGACCGAGAGCCTACACGCGGAAGCTGAGCCGCACATTCTAAGTTCTAAAACCAATCACAAGGTGATAGCTAAGCAAAGCAATTAGGATATCAACAATTCAAATTTGAAGAACCAAAACAACACTCCAAATGTGCAGCATTCAGTCGCATCATTTTTTTTGGGGGGGCGGGGGGATGGGGGGCAATGTTTGCACCCAAAATATTAATCTAAGAATAACACGTGGCAAGAATCCAACAGTTTGGAGGAAATCAGTAAGAATACAAGTATAACATGATAGTTAATTTACTAGGACTTTTAAAATCCCAGAAAACGAGAAGACGTGATATCATGAGTCGTCAATTAGAGATAGTACAATACACGTCTGAGTATATCGGGGGAGGAGGTCATGATAGTAGTCATGATCGGAAAAGATAGCTTCAATAGTTGAATGTCGTTCTTTATAAATATTGAAAGAGAGGCTATAGAGAAAGATCTCTCGATCAATTCAACAACTACAAATAAAGTCATCCTTTCCTTTACTTAAGATTTCTTTTAGATTGTAACTCATCACTTTGGTGATTTTCCTTTTAATTTAATGCCAAGTCTAGTAGTTTGCATATATACCTTTTTCAATCTTTATGTTATTTTCAATTCCAGTTGTTTTACTACATTTCAGTCCATTACGTTACCAGTTGAAAATTAATTAAATCCTTAATCTCCAAGACAGTGAAAAGAACTTAGAGGTAGTCTTACACTTCATTATAATCATCTGAACAATCATAATATTAGAATCTCACGTCAATTCGAATTGGTAAGGTTGTACATGTTTATATTTTAAGTCTAGTTGGAATTTGACAAGTCTGCAATTCGAAAATACTCCAAACAAATAGGGAGAAGATTACGGTACCAATTTTTTTTTGTTATACATAAACCAAATTTTTTTTTTTTTGGGCATCGTACTTCCAGTTTTACAAATTTTGTGTGTTGAGATATAAATTTTTGAGTTTATTTATAACAAAAAAATTTATAAATTTTTGGGTCACGTTCCAACTTAAAGTTCGAGTAACAATTTTTTTAATTCAACTTGGGATGGATTCTAGAATTATTAAAATCGACCCTAACAATTTTAGGACTGATTCCAATTTACCACAAAACTCGAAAAAAAGTTCATAAAATTTATAATAATATTAGGATATTAAAAACAATGGGCACCTCAGTTTTCTTTCTATAATAGATGCAACCCCATTAGAGGGGATGATAAACGTAAAGAGTAGCCTTTGGTCAAAGAATCAGTATATCGTGTCGTGTGATTTTAAAATTTATTTAATTTAAATTAATTGTTTTTATTTAAATATATTTAAATTTGTATAATATCTAGTGTGTCCCGTATAAAAGTCATAGTCAGTCAATTTTGTGATGATATATTTATTTGACGAATCTAACACATTTACCCGTTCACCACATGAATAAGTCAAAACTCAACTCAAACGTTCTAATTGTATATTGTTTTGATATTAAATTCACAAATCGTATTAAAATCTCCACGCCATGTCCATACCATAGCTCTAATATGGAAAAACTGTGACTGGGCCTTGACGTACGAATGTTCCAACTTTTTTCATTAGTCAATAATCACTATTTATACCGTTCTGAGTAATTCTTATTTGAAGGTACAATGCAATATGAATGATTTTGAGATGAATGTTAGTGGCTGTTAGATGAATTTATTTGAAATCGTCAGATGAATTTATTAAAATCTGTCATACCTTATAATATAGATTAGTAAACAAGTATTAGACTTCTAAGTTCTGACCAAAACAAAAACAAGTATTTAAACTGTAAAATTTGATCTGAATACTCAAAGCTTAAAGTTTGCTCGAAGATTAGGGTGTTCACCATATTCTACGGGTAAGAATTATATTATTTCATCTTTTTATCCAATACTTTGCGAAAAAATATTTGCTTAGCCCACTCTACCCGATCAAGTGTATTATTCTTACCCAAATTCTGTCCAAAACAATCGGGTACGAAATCAGGTAAGAAATCGGATGAACACATATTTTTTAGTTATTAATTTTTAAATCATTTTAACAATTTAATCAAGTGTACTATTTCTACTTGATCAAGTGTATTATTTTTATCTGAATTATGTTCAAAACAATCAGGTAGGAAGTCAGGTAGGAAATTGGGTGAACATAAATTTTTTAGTTATTAATTTTTAGATCGTTTTAACAAATTATATGGTATATATATATAGAAGGAATACATATTCCGCATTCTTATCCGATTTTTAACAGAATATCAAAAAAAAAATTGTTGGTCTATCCGATTAACAAAATCGAATAAGGCTGAAATTTATAGGTAACCAAAACTTTGAACACTCCTATCGAAAAATCATATTTTGGTACACGCTAGTCTCTAACCACGTGTCTTATATTTTTGTGCCGTTTGTTCACGCAAATTTGTAGGGCCTAAGCAAGGTGCTTGCACCAGTCGGGAGGCATTAAAATGGTTATCTAAAAGTGTTTAGTTTGGTGGATTTCTATTTAACTCATCCAGTATTATGTTGCATGTTTTGGGTTTCCTTATCAACAATTAAAATTTTGAGTCGTTGCATTATTTCGTGTACTTACGAAATGAAAAGGTTTTACAGATGTTTTGAAAATAAAATCGAAATGAACAAAAAATTAAAAATTTGTTTTTCAAAATATTTTAAAATATTTGTCAAATATATACTTAAACATCTTAAAATTCTTTAAAACATTTTAAGAAATTGGTCAAAACATCTCAACACATTATAAAATACCTGTGAAAAATGAATTTCAATATTAAATCATTGATTTTATATCAATTTCTATGAAAAGGAAATATTACGACTGTTTTAAAATAAAATATTAATTATCCGTCCACGTGTTCAGTGCTAAAAGAGGGGGTCAGAGACTAATAATGTAGGTTAGACACCTCCAATCAAATGCATCACTTTTATGAATAATACTACTCCGGGAACATGAATCAACAACCACTATTGATTATCCTATTCAATTTTTTGGATATGTTCAATGCTTTTTTCTCAAGTGCTGATGTGTATAGTCAAATAACAACACCTTTCTTGTCACAGTAATATTAGATTGATCAAATTTTGAGATCAAATTTAGAGTTTAAATGACATGACAGTTGACTTGGGCTTCTTTGATTGGTGTAATGTTATTTAGGTTCTAATAAAAACTTCAAATAATTAACTGTCATGTTATTTGAGCTTCAAATTTGATCTCAATATTTGGTCAGTGTAACATTACTCTTCTTGTCAGGGCTAAAAGCCAGAGGCCGCTTCATGTTCAATAATGAATCAATGTCCTTCCATTCTCCCCCTATATAAATGCCCTTACTACCATCCCCTTCATTTCACGAGTCTTTTTATGTTTTTTGTTGTAGAATTAAAGAAATTAATGGCAATGGAAATGTCTTTGGGAGATATGTTGTTGAAGGTGGTCATGTTCATGCTTGTTCAAGCTCTTGTTTATCTCATCCTCTCGAATTCATCGGACATTTTTTTAAAGAACAAGATGAGGTCACTTAGCTTCAAACCAGCTCGTTTTGTCAGCATTCGTCGGGTGTTAGCTATGATCTCTGACATGCCACCAGGTGGCGAAGCGTCACCGTCTTTAAGAGGTTCAAAATCGCCAACTCAAGAGCATCCCACCACCGATGATGGTAGATACTAATGTTCATGCAAAGTGATATACTTAATGGCGGGACTCTAGGTGGCTCTACAGCTCCCGGGTTGACACGTGGAATAATGAAGCCGTTGGGATATCCAAAGGGTGCCGAGGAGGTAAGCCGAGGTATGGTGACACGGAGCAGCCAAGTACGACAGCTGGCATCGTATTTAATGCAATGTGACCCCTCATTTATGACGGAATGAGTGATAGTAACAAGGCAAATAAATATGCGCCTGCCAGCACTTGCCCTCTGGGAGTTTAAGCCTACTCTCATGATGACTAAGCATTAATGACTGATACGCCGAGACGACACGATCGGTTCTCCCGAGGAACTGTTCCCCCCCGAGTATTCAATGCTCAGTTGATGTCGGATGTCGATCTGGGGGATTTGGGTACTCGGGGAGTGACATAAATACTCGGCATTTGGCCGAGCATTTACTCCATTTTCCTAGCATTCAATAGGAGGAGACGTGAGTAGAAAATACTCATTGCACAAAGAATGGTATGTCAGATGTAAGATATCCAGATGGGACTAGAGATCTTTGGCAATCATTGTTAATTCAGGTATAAATACTCCTCAGAAAAATGGACAAAGGTATGCAAACTTGAATCAAAAAAATAGTCCATTAAGCAAAATCCTTCGACCTTATACTAATTTAAGCTTCGGAGGGGATTAGCCGGGCGCTCGTCTGGCCCCCTTTTTTCTGACCCTGTTGTTTCAGGTTCGCCAATTTGGAGATCGCTGTCTCATACTATTGTAGAAATTATCCCGTGCAATTTGGCGTTGTTATGGGAACAAAGGCATTTTTCTCGGTAGCGATCGTCTGATAGTGAACACTCGATCTCAGGGTGAGGGAGCAGGTGTATGGGCCAGGAACGCAGAGTCTGTCTAGCTTCCAATGGTTTTAGAGCCAGGTTCATTGGGCCAGTCAGATGGGGTGGGGCATTCTTCGCAAAGAACGCTCCTTATGGATCAGGGCCTTGGGGGGCGTGACCTCATGGCCCATGACATCGTTGAGATGGTGGAAAAGCGGATGGGCAAACGCATTAAGCAGCTTGAAAGGGAAAACGCCAAGGTCCAGCAATGTCTTGAAAATTTTGAGCAGTCAGCGAGCTCGAGTAAACATAGTCGCGGGTTCGGGGACCAGGTGCCTAGCCAGAACCTGTCTAGGCCCCCTTGGCATTGGCCCTCCAGGAAAGATTGGATAGGCACTCACCTGAGGGACGTAACTGCCAAGGATCTCAGCCTCCAAGGGGAAGTCGAAATTGGGCCAGAAGGCAAGCTTGTCCAGGTGGGACCTGCGCCGAGGGATTCCTGAGGGCGTCGGAGCTGCCGAATCTCAAGCGGAGTCCATACCCCGAAGGCCTCGAGGAGAAATATCAAAAAAGGATCCCAGGGTCCCCTTTATTGCTCAGCGCAACCATGAGCCCGAGGTCTACTCCGACAAAGTTATCTCACCGTTCGTCCGGGCTATTAGGGAGGCCGAGATGCCGAAGAAGTTTACCGTCCCACGATTCAAAGTCTATGATGGAAAAATTGATCCCGAGAGCCACCTTCAGCAATACAAACAATTGATGTCAATCTATAATACTGACCAAAGGGTGTTGTGCCGAGTTTTATCCATGAGCCTAGGGGACACGGGCATGAGGTGGTATGAGAACCTTGCTCCTTAGAGCGTTAGGTCGTGGAAATAATTGACAGAGTTCTTCATAGCTCGATTCATCACCAGTAGTAAGAAACCAAAGGACATCAGTGCTCTGTTGACGCTTAGGCGAAAAGGGGGAAAGACACTCCAACAATATGCCATCCGGTATTGGGATAAAGTGAATCAGGTGAAAGCATGTTCGGAGCCATTGGCCGCGGTGTCATTTAGGCTGGGGCTGTCCCGGGACACTGATTTTTACAAATCACTGACCAAGAAGGCTCTGGCGGACATGAAAGACTTGATGGCTCGGATTAACAAATATGCCTGGGTGAAAGAAGAATCCGTCGCGCCCGAGCCAAGGAAAAGGGAGCAGCCGGCCCGAAGGGGAGGGCCGGTTCCACCCCCAACTCGCATATCCTTCCAGGGGGTGAACACGGTCTTCAACGAGCCCATTCACAGGATACTTCCCAAAATCAAAAATAAACCCTACTTCAAGTGGCCCCCGAGGATGTTTAGAGACCCGTCGACAAAGAATGCGGCCTTCCGATATTCGTATCATAAAGATATCGATCATTTGACGGAGGATTGCAAGGTTTATAAATCTTTCCTAGAACAATTGGTGCGAGACAGACACCTCGGGGAATTCATCGACAGGGGATATCCCAGCGGGTTGGTGAGGTAGCACCCGTGATTGATGTTATTCATGCCTGCATAGTAGAGAGGCCTACATACAACTCCCTCTGCGCCAAGTTTCAAAGGGTCTCTCAAGTAGTCAGGGTGGATGAAAGGGGAGACGAGCGGTTGCTCAAGAAGTCACGGAGCGGTGCCGAAGTTATCTAATTTTTTGATGCTGATCTCGGCGGGGTAGTCCTCCCCCACGAGGATGCATTGGTGATCACTTTGCGAGTCGGGAAGTTCGACGTCAAGAGGATCTTGGTGAAGGGTAGTTCTTCTGAGGTAATGTACAATCACCTCTTTCGCAAGATGGGATTCTCTCAGGGGGATCTGGAACCCGTAAAAACCCCCCTCATCGGCTTCAATGGTTCCAGCGCCTTACCCCTTGAAAAAATCACCCTCATGGTATGGGCGGGGGTGGTGACCACGCTAGTGGAATTTGTGGTGGTGGATTTTGACTCCCCTTACAACGTTATTATGGAGAGATCGTGGTTGCATGCAATAAAGGCGGTCCGCTCATCGTATCACCAGAAGATAAAGTTCCCAACACCGCAAGGCATAATAAAAATTCGGGGTGACCAAGCGTCGGCGAAAAGCTGTTTCTATGCCGCGGTGAAAACGGGAGTCAGCGGCCGGAGTCAAGAGCGTGATCCCGATGAGGTGGTTGCCAAATAGCAATCACAGAGCGGTCATTCGGGAGTGGACGAGCCCATTAGAGAGTCGGCCGACCGATCTACTGAGGCCTTGGTGAAGATTCTCCTAAGCCCAAATAACGGTGAGAAGTACTTTTTGGTAGGAGAGTCACTCAGCGACGCAGAGAGAAATGATATGGCCTCATTTTTACGCCACAACGTCAATGTCTTTGCGTGGACCCAGGCCGAGATGACGGGGATAAGTGCCAAGGTGATAACTCATTGGCTCCATGTGAATTCCTCATTCAAACCTGTTAGGCAAAAGACCTAGAAAATGACGCCTCATCATGCGAAGGTTGTGGATGAAGAGGTGGATAGGTTGTTGGGGGCAGGTTCCATCAAGGAGGTAAAGTTCCCTTGTGGCTATCCAATACCGTGTGCGCCAAAAAGAAAGAAGGGAAATGACGAGTTTGCGTGAATTTCACGGACCTGAACAAGGTTTGCCCCAAGGACGAGTACCATTTGCCCAAGGTTGATTAGCTGATAGACGCCACAGCCGGCCATAAACACATCACCTTTATGGATGCTGGGCAGGATATCACCAGATTCCCCTACATGAATCAGATCAGGAGAAAACGGCGTTCACCACGCCCCGAGGAATCTATTATTACATAGTAATGCCTTTTGGGTTAAAGAATACTGGAACAACTTACCAACGTTTGATGAACAAAATTTTCAAAGACCAACTCGGCAAAACAATGGAGGTGTACATTAATGACATGTTGGTCAAAAGCAAAGAGGGGGCCGACCATCTCTATGATCTCGGGACGACATTCGTCATCCTCCAAAAGTATGACCTAAAACTAAACCCCTTAAAATGCGCCTTTGGAGTGAGCTCAGGAAAGTTTTTGGGGTATTTGGTTACTCATTGGGGAATCGAGGCGAGCCCCGAGCAAATACAAGCAATCCAGAATGTCCGGGCACCTAGGACCATCAAGGATGTTTAGAAATTGGTCGGGATGTTGGCAGCCCTTAATAGATTTATTTCTAAGTTATCCGATAAGTGCAAACCATTTTTTACCAAGTTGAGGGGGGCAGCTAAGGGGGTTTGGGATGAGGAATGCGGTCGAGCTCTTGAAGGGATCAAGGAGTACTTGAAACATCCTTTGACTTTATCTATTCTAGCGGCAGGGAGGTGCTTAGCCTTTACTTGTCTGTATCTCGAAACGCCGTGAGTGGAGCACTGGTCAGAGATAGCGAAGGGGCCCAAAGACCCGTGTATTTCATAAGAAAGACCTTGCTTGACACCAAGACAAGGTACTCTCCAATGAAGAAATCAGTCTTGACATTGGTAATCTCGACGAGGAAACTTCGACACTACTTCCAGACTTACGCCATAGACAGCCTTACAGATCGACCTCTCAAGCCGATCCTTCACCGAGCCGATATGTCTGGGAGGGTTGCCAAATGGGTTGTAGAGCTTGGAGAGTTTGAAATCAGGTACAAGTCTCGAACGTCAATAAAAGGACAAGTCCTGGTGGACTTTGTCGCCGAGTTCTCTACGTTCGAGCCCCCACCAACGTCACAGGATATAACAGGGGACGTTTGGGATCTTCATGTTGATGGATCCTCGAACGCAAAGGGGCAAAGATAGGTATTGTGCTAGTCAACTCAGAAAGGTTCATCATTGAAAGGGCAATCAGATTAAAATTCAAGGCGTCCAATAACGAAGCCGAGTATAAGGCATTGCTAGCAGGACTGGATGTCGCATACTTAACTGGGGTTAGACACCTTCGGATCTTTTGCGATTCCCAACTGGTCGTGAACCAGGTAAATGGGGACTTCAAGGTCTGGGATAGTAGAATGAAGGCATATCATGAGAAGGCAAAGTCCAGGATGAAAAATTTAGAAAAAGTGGAAGTTTTCCAGATTCCTAGAGATCACAATACCCACGCCGATGCACTAGCATGTCTGGCTTCAGCCTTGGCCTCGGAGGTAACTTGGCGCATACTTATTGAGACCCGAGAAAGTCCGAGCAT